GCTGCTTGACGAGCCACTGACTTGGCCAACAGCGTTGGCTTGACCGGCAACGTCGGCTTGACGAGGGCTTTATTGGCTGTACGCTTGTCTGCAGCCGGCGCGGTCGCTGGCTTGACAGGTACACGCTTGGGGACCGGGGCACGCGTGGGCCCAGCGAGAGCAGACTTGGCCTTGCGACGCATCTCGGCGCGGTGGAGATGCGGGAATTCGGCTTGGAACTTGGCGTCGGCGGCCGCAGCGCGCGCGGCGGCGACGTCTTGGAGGTGGTTGGCGTTGAAGCGGTGCATGGTGTTGTCGGTGGTGCTCGTTGGAAATGCAAATGATTGTGGTTCAAAACTTGCATGGTTGTCGTACAAAAGCTCTCCGCTCACATGCTTTTACTGCGCCCCTGTCGCTTTCGTCGAAGGCGCTTTTACCACGTCAATGTCGATTTTTGTCTTTGCAATGGGGCCGTACCGACAACATTGAGCGGGCAGCCGACATAGAGTGCACAATGAGCTGCTTAAGTAGCCTCGAAAAACAGAGTAAAACGACTGGAGTGTGCAAGCAACGTCATCGAATGCGAGCTTTCCATTCGCACAAGATCGGCTGCAGACTGAAGAGGGAGACCGCCACGTCATCCACCCTTCCGACTGTGTAACCTCGCGTTCTCCTTGCTTTAAGAGAGGTGCAAGAGCAAGGACAAACACACATTGTATACATACAAGATAACGCGAAACACGTTCATAGATAGATAGATATGTCCTTCCCATGCGTCAAGATCCCGCCGCTCCTGTGCTACATGCGAGAGTCTGGATAGAGACCATCTGCGCACCGTTGCGTTGGCGAGCGCCATGTCAGTCTTCCGTGTCTTCTGGTACGGCGCTACTCAGCGCTTGAGACGCGGCAGCATCGCAGGCGCGAGGTCCGTTATAAGCAGCGTCGCATGCGGCGAGAGGCGCGAGAGAATATCTTCGGTGCCGGCGCCAGCGCCAAATTCGAGCATACGTGTCGCCGTATCGAGGTTCATGTGGGTGTGCAGGACGCGCGAGCCTTGGATCGTCAGCGTCTTGTTGGCTTCGGCCGTGTACACCTCGGCAAAGCCGTTCCAGAAGCGCTGGATCTGGCGCACGCTATCGTCCATGGGTACGACCGCCTGCCGCGTCATGGTCTCACAGCCTCGGAATGCCTACAATAATGTGTATTGCAACTTCAAGCACATCAAAAACAAAACCTTTCACAGATTGCGGAGCCGTATTCAGCAAGATTATCAAATTAGATCTTGTTGTGCACCAATGAAATCGGTGCATTGCCATGCGTGCGCGTGTCCTTGTCGAATTAACTTGACACTTCCTAGCTTGATAGTTCGTGGATGTTGTGATTTGATGGGATCGGGAATTTGCGCGAGTCCTCGAAGCAAAGTCGCCCCTCGCTATCGTTGGGCCGCAGCAGCTCGCCTTTATGCGCTGGATCAAACCACTGCGACATCGTCATCAGGCGGCCGACCAACGGATATCGAGCCAACCACAGTACACGCTCTTTTCGAAGACGATTCGACGCGAGTAGCGGCCATTTTCATCATTATGATGGAACAACTGCTCGAGTCACGATAGACGTCACAACTGGGCCCCTCGAGTCAGCGAGCGCCAAAATTCGATCTCCTCCAAATTGCTCTGCGAGTCATCTATACCTCCAATATGCACTGTCGAGTCCCTCTGGAGTCTCTAGGCGTCGCGAAAGCACTCCAAATGTTTGATTTCGTACAATAAAGCTTGCCAAATCTCCAATTTCGTACAACTAAGCTTGAGATCTGGCTGTCATCGGGATGGAAACCACACGTTCTCGGTCTTGGTGTTGGTCTTGCCTGGTCATGGTGATATTGCCGACCAATCCGAGCTTTGGGATGCAATAAGGCCGTTGTTCTTCACTTGTGTTTAAAGAATGCAAACACATGCGATCGCTCGTTCCTGCCACGCAGGCTGCACGAAGCTCTGCACGACAGGTAATAGTACAGTACTGTAGTACGCCGCGAGCAGCTTCTTCGCTCGTCCACGGCTTGTGCACAGCGCTTCATTGCACAACCATGTCAGAAGGTATTATATCGTCCATCGTTGCTCTCTTCATGATGAGCTCAACGAGCTATCCGGATACTTGTTGGCGCTCCGCGTGTGCGCGACACCTTCCGATAGTAGCCTCGGCGTCTCAGTGGCCGCGGACGACAGTCGATAGTACGTTGCACGGTAAAATTGAATCCAAACTAAATAAGCCCAGTGAAATAAGCCAAAGCTTAGTTTTTTAGTATGTACACTGGCCCATCCCCGTCCCGCGAGCACCGCCCTCTCGATGTGCATACGCTGGTCATGCCCATCACACGGGGTGGAAAGCACCGCACTGGAGATTGGCAAGCTGGCACGCGCGCGAGTAACTTGGTAGTAGGTTGAAGCTGCACCCGCCATCTGGTCCGCTTGCCATCGCTGGTAATTGCATCTCGAACACGCTACTCTCGCCTTCTCGACGCCCGTAGCTATTGTACCTTGCGCGTCGTCCTTCATATCCAATCGCAGTACACTGCACAAGGCCGCGCCGCTGCGGTAAATAATGCCACGAGCAAAGACAGACGACAGGGACAAGTGACGTGCACCGAAGATCGCGCTTGTGTAATCGGGCCACACGGGTTCACACGTCCTTACACACAGCAGCAATCCTCTGGAGGTACGTAGCTCGACTCCCGAAGGCTGGTACCGTTGAAGTGCTTGTTTGGACGCCGGGTCCCTGCGCAGGAGAAATTTGGCGTCGGAGGCGCCCGTTGCACCGTGGTTTCCGAGCAAACTGCACCATACCGTGTATTATGATCTGGTCCCCACACGATTAAAATGGATGGCTCGACTAAACCGTCACGGTGTCGACTACACCATACAAAAACTAAACTTTCACCATTAGTCGATTCGAACATTGCATTAAAATACACGTGACCATTGCCACTTTGCCCATTGTGAAAAATGCAGTGCGCTGGAATTTACACTGATAACCTTCCGTGATCGCCGCGCTACCGAGAAACGAAACGATTCTTATCGGTTATTTTTATGGATTAAGAAAAATCTTTTGAATGCCGCTAGAAAGGGCAACCTCGTGGCGTGGGAATGGCTTTTTCACGCGTGGGATATTCGGCACTACCAGACGGTTGCGATTATTACACATCGCGCCACAGTCAAGTTTTTTCCTCCGAGATGCAACGCAGCGCGACGCTCGCCGCCATGGCCGCGCTGGTGCGACCAGCCATCGCCGGCAACCAGAACGACCCGACGCAGCCGACCAAGTCGGGCCTTGGCATCTGGGTCGATGCCCACACGCCGGCCGACATGTACACGAAGCAGAGCTCGCGCGGCGACACGTGGAACCTCGTCATGAGCGACGAGTTCAACCTCGATGGCCGCCAGTTTGCATACGGCAACGACCATATCTGGACCGCGCTCGACATTCCCGATGGCGTCAACCGCGCGATGGAGCTCTACAGCTCCAAAAACGTCTACACCGAGGGCGGCTACTTGTACAACCGTGTCGACGAAGGCCCGGTGAACGTGAGCTTTTGGAACTCGTGGTCCGAGACGCCGGGCTACGAGAACAAGACGATGCACTACACGGCCGGCATGATGCAGTCCTGGAACAAGTTTTGCATCCAAGGCGGTTTTGTCGAAGTGCGCGCGATGCTACCGGGTGCGATCAACAAGGAGTCGCTCAACCCCCATATTCTTGGCTACAAGTGGGCGCCGCCGCCCATCAACAAGATTCCAGTCAACGACAAGGACAAGATTCCCGACATTCGCTTCTACCCGACGTGGCCCGGGCTCTGGCTCATGGGCAACCTTGGCCGCGCGCTCTTCGCGGCCTCGACCAACCGCATGTGGCCCTGGACGTACGACGAGTGCGACGAGCGGTACGAGACCAACCAGCGCATCTCGGCGTGCAACAAGAACCCTGGCTACGGCCTCAACCCAAACCAAGGCCGCGGCGCGCCCGAGATTGACATCCTCGAAGGCGGTGGCACGGCGATCTCGTCGTCCGTCCAGATTGCCCCGGGTATGCCGGACGAGTACCGCCGCACCAAGCCGATCCTTAAGCTCGAGAGCGTCACCAACGTCGATCCCCAAGGTGCGGCGCTATAAAGACGCGATCGCAGTGAACGACCGTACTGTTTGATAGGGCGCAAGGGCCAGGGCCATCTCTTTTGCTACTACGACAAGAACTGCCTCACGCCCGGTGCCAACATGGCCGATGTTCCGACGGCCGCCTTTGCCTCGCGCGGCCACAAGTCGTGGTACCACGGCCTCCGATATGCGGCCAACAACCGGTGCAACCCCGACCCGAAGCTCGTGCAGCAGTACGAGTCGGTCGCCAAGGCCCAGAACGGCACGATCATTGACAACCAATGGGACATCAAAACCATTAGCTCGGGCCGCGACCTGCACGCGGACTTGAGCTTGATGGACGGGAAGGGCCCGCTGCATTGGGGCATCAACTACAAGGGCACGTGCTTCCCGATCTCGAACGGGTACATTGGCGGGTTTCTCTGCGACCCGGACAACATGAACCCGAACTGCGAGAACCCGCGCAAGCCTGGCGTGCCCCTCACGCGGCAGATGGAGACGTTTGCGTATCAAATGGACGCGATCTCGTCCAACTGGGACATTTCGTTTGAGCACTACAAGATGTTTTTCAACTACCAGATCGAATGGTATGCCACGGAAATCATGTGTCATCGTGCGAATTGTGGACAAAATAATATGTTAGGGTCATGGGTGAAGACGGCTACATTCGCTGGACGCTCGATGACGCGCCGATTTTTGAGATTCCAGCGTCGTCGATGACCAACCCGCCCCAAGGCGGTGCCAGCGTCAACCCGAAGAAGCTCATGATTGAGGAGCCGTCGTACATCATCTTCAACATTGCCATGGCGTCGGCGTGGGGTACCTTTTTTGTTTTTGAGATGATTCGAATCTCAAAATCATCTTGTTTTGTAGGGGCCATGCCACCCAACTACGAAGTCGGGCCGTGCCGCGGCAATGCGACCATGCCCGCGGACCCCAACATTCGCCGCATCACCGATAACATTTGCGACTCGTTCCCGATGTACATGGTCATTGACCACATTCGCGTCTGGTACGTACTTCGATCCCACCACTGTGTATTTACTACAACCTCCTTTAGGCAAGACACGGCGGTGGGCTCCAAGATGAGCGTCGGCTGTGACCCTGCGAGCCACCCGACCAAGGAGTTCATCAAGGCGCACATTCTCAACTACACGGACCCGCTCAACAAGGACGTCGAGGTCGCGGGTAAAAACACGTGCATCAACGACGACGACTGCTCGATCGCCGGCGGGACACCGACGGGCCGATGCATCAAGGAGCGTTGCGAGTGCATTACGCTCTGGGCCGGCCCCCGCTGCACCAAGTACACACCGAACCTCAACAGCGACGAAGAGAAGGAGGCGTCGTTTGGCCCCAAGGTTGTCTACCCTGCGTCGATTCTCGCTGCCGCGGGTAAAAACACGTGCATCAACGACGACGACTGCTCGATCGCCGGCGGGACACCGACGGGCCGATGCATCAAGGAGCGTTGCGAGTGCATTACGCTCTGGGCGGCCCCGCTGCACCAAGTACACACCGAACCTCAACAGCGACGAAGAGAAGGAGGCGTCGTTTGGCCCCAAGGTTGTCTACCCTGCGTCGATTCTCGCTGCCCTCGTCGTCATTGTCGTGGCCACGACGATTGTGCGTCGGCGACGCCACGTGGCGGAAATCCAAGCCGCGAACGCGTTTGCCGAGATGAAGAGTGCCAAGGCCGCGGCGATGGCGGCCGAGACGGACGACGACGCGGGCAACAACGCGAGCAACAACCGCCGGTACTATGGCCCGGCGGCCGCCCAACCGCGCAACCTCGCTTGAGAGCACGCGCCGTATCGCATATCGAGATATGCTTTCTGTGTAATGGAATTTTCCCTGCTTTTGTACTTTATTTTGGTGGATAGTACACCCCAACCATCTGCATGGTACCATGCTTGAAGCAAGTACTGCCGATAGAGAACGATCGCGAGGTAAGCTTTAATGTGGTCGCAAGGTCGGCCGTCGTCTGCGATGGCTTCCGACACCCCGTCTCCCAACGGCAACCAAGCGGCCCCCGTCCCACGCGAGACGACACCGTTGGCTGCATTGCTCGACTCGACGAGGCACGAATGGCTCGAAAGCTGCATTGTGTGCGGCCGTCCGCGTCGTGGCTGCTCGTCGAGGCACTCGTTGAGGAAGTCGTCACGTTCCTCGTCGGTACCGATGTCCGCGCCTTTGCGTGGGCGCTGCGCTCTCACCGCCCGACAATGACCTTTGTGATCTCGCCGACTCTCTGGACGCGGCTCTTGACGGGGCTCCTGCGACTGCCGGGGGTGCCAACGCCAACGAGCGTCCCGGCGCCGCGTCTGCTAACGACATATGCCACAGCAATCGACCATGCGACGTGGCTGCGAAAGCACGTGCATGTCATCCACGCGACGCTCGACGATGTGGACGACGGCAGCATGCAGACGCTGGTGTTTCCTACGACGGCCGGTCTGCGCCACCCGCCGCGGGGCTCGGCCGCAGCCGCCGCCCACGCGATCGCCGGCGAGGCGTTTATGGATGCCGAGGTGCAGCGCGTGCACCGTCGTCCTCTGCTGCGGAACACTGCGTGGTCGACGTCGGGCGGCGTCTCGACGTTTTCTACGTTTCTTCATGCGATTGGACCGGCCACGGGCGACACCAACAAGCTGGAGCACCTCGCGGTGACGTATGACAACGTGTGGGCCGAAGCAGCGGCACTGGTGGCGCGGACGGGACAGCCCCTCCGGCACGCCATTGGTGTCTTGCCCATTGGTATGGGCCTCGCGCAGTGCCCTCTTGCCGCAGCAGCGACCCGCACGCTCGCGCAGCTCTCGATCTCGGCGTTTGAAATGCATGCGCTCGTTGCTTCGACCTCGGTGACGTTCGTTTGCAAGGACAAGGCTGTCTTTGACGCCATCGACGCTGCGCGACAAGCGCTGCTCCAGACGTAGTAACGACGTTGCATCTTGGCTCGTGGAATACTACGAGTGTGGTTTATATCCTGTTAAGGTGGTCTCTGGGGAAGGTGGCATTGGGGGTAGGGGTACATGGGGCTAGGGTAACGACCCCACCCGCTCCCTGTGCCTATTGCGACGGACGCTTGCGGCGGGGTATCTTTCTTGGGCACGTGCTACGCCACACACCACACAAGCCTGCACTGCATGTGTCCTGGCGGCAGCAGTGGGACACATATACACAAACGACCATAGATTAGGGTAAACTGGGCTGCGGCTACGATAGGAGAGAGTGCGTGCGGTCCGTGTCGTCGTCGTCGTCGTCACGTTGGCTAAGGTGTGTTGTCCTACGAGCGCCATAACAAGACTTAGGCCCGCGCGTGCTGGTACTCGACATCGCGGTCGCCCAGTACAATGATATCGGATTGCCGCGCCGAGAGCTGGCTCTTGCGCTGGTCGCGGAACACTTCGAGAGTCTTCTCGAGCGTTCGGCGCTGCTTTTGGCGCAGAACGAACGCGCCGACAGACGCGGCGACGGCAAAGGCGACAAGGCCCACGGACAGCGCCATGGACGGACCGAACGAGGCGTCTTTCAGGTCGTATTTGGTGCAGCGAGGGCCCGTCCACCCGTGCATGCACTCGCAGCGGCTCTTGACACACGCACCCGTAAGGCTCGTCGTGACGGTGCAGTCGTCAGCCGACTTGCACGATGCGCCGCCCGCGACCGGAAGATCCAAGTTGAGGGGGTCCGTGTAGTTGGTGATGTGCGCCTTGATAAATTCCTTGGTGGGATGGGTCGCGGGATCACAGCCGTAGCTCATGCGAGACGCGTCTTGCCTAACTCAAATATGAAATTGCGAATGGAGTCGGGATCGAAGTGGGTACCAGACGCGGATGTAGTCGATCGACAAGTACATGGGGAACGAGTCGCAGATGTTGTTGGACATCTTGAACTCGTCCGAGCCAGGCGTCGGGATTGAGGCGTTGCCGCGGCACGGACCCACCTGCCAGTTGGGCGGCGTCGCGCCTAGTGGAGGACCGTTCATATGCATTCTACTAACATGCAAGGAGCCGCACCCCAGGCCGACGCCATCGCCACGTTGAAGAGAATGTAGCTCGGCTCTTCAATCATGATCTTCTTCGGGTTGGGTTCCTTCCCGCCTTGGGGCGGGTTGGTCATCGACGACGCCGGGATCTCGAAAATCGGCGCGCCGTCGAGGGCCCAGCGCACGTAGCCATCGTCGCCCATGACCCTAATTATTATGTGAGCGCCGTGGATGAAAGTGTAATCGCATCGTACCACTCGAGCTGGTACTTGTAGTAGGTCGTGTACGCTTCGTAGTTGATGTCCCAGTTGGACGAGATCGCATCCATTTGGTACTCGAACGGCTCCATCATCATGGTCTCCTGCTCGTGCGCCTTGCGCGGGTTGTCGCATTTCGGGTTCATGCTGTCGCGGTCGCAGAGGAAGCCACCCTTGTACCCGTTCGCGATCGGGAAGCACGTGCCCTTGTAATTGATACCCCAATGCAGCGGGCCCTTGCCATCAATCAAGCTCAAGTCGGCGTGGAGGTCCTTGCCCGAGCTAATGGTTTTGATGTCCCACTGGTTGTCAATGATCGTGCCGTTCTGGGCCTTGGCGACCGACTCGTACTGCTGGACAAGCTTCGGGTCGGGCGAGCACCTGTCGTTGGCAGCGTATCGGAGACCATGGTACCACGACTTGTGGCCGCGCGACGCAAACGCGGCCGTTGACACGTCGGCCATGTTGGCCCCGGGCGTGAGGCAGTTCTTGTCGTAGTAGCAAAAGACGTGGCCGACACCCTTTCGCCCCTGAGGGTCGACGTTGGTCGAGGCTTCGAGCGCCAACACGGGAGTCGTGAGCCGGTACTCGTCCGGCATGCCCGGTGCAATCTGGACGGACGACGAGATTGCCGTGCCACCGCCTTCGAGAATGTCGATCTCCGGCGCGCCGCGGCCTTGGTTCGGGTGAAGCCCAAAGCCAGGGTTCTGTTGCATGCCGAGATGCGCTGGTTCTTGCGCGAGAGCTCCGTGCACTCGTTGTACGTCCAGGGCCACATCTTGTTGGTCGACGCCGCAAAGAGTGCGCGCCCGAGGTTGCCCATGAGCCAGATGCCTGGCCACGTTGGGTAGAACCGAATGTCCGGGATCTTGTCGGCGGGCTTGATGGGCTTCATGCCTTGGGGCGTCCAGAGCTTGCCTTGGACATGCGGGTTCATCGACTCCTTGTTTAGCGCGCCCGGGAGCTTGGCTGCGACTTCGACAAAGCCGCCTTGGATGCAAAACTTGTTCCACGTCTGCACCATTGCCGCCGAGTAATACTACAGAGAGACGGTCAGGTCAACACAGTACAAGTTGCAAATGAGATCGCACCATTTTCTTCTTTGTCCAGCCAGGGATGTTGGCCCACACGTTGTAGTACGCGATGTCGACTTCGCCAGAGTCGATGCGAATATGGAACGACCCGTTCTCGGTCAGCGCGTTCTTGGGTGTGTAAATCTCAATGGCGCGGTTGACGCCATCGGGAATGTCGAGCGCGGTCCAGAGATGGTCGTAGCCGGCGCTAAAGTTGCGCCCGTCGAGCTCGAATTCGTCGCTCATGACGAGCTGCCACGCGTCGCCGCGGGAGCTCGTCTTGTTGTAGACCTCGGCAGGCGTGTTGACATCGACCCACGTCGGGACACCCGACTTGGTCGGCTGCGTGTTGTCGCCGATGTCAAGACCCGCCGTGCTGTGGGCGACGGCGGCGACAAGAAGAAAGGCGGCTGTCGATCGTACTACCATGGCGCTGCAGCGACGATGGCGACGACTTGGAAATGACGCGTCCATGAAGAGCGCGTAGGAAGCCCAGCTGTTATCCCCATCACACGTGTGATTGGGGCAGGCCAGCTGGACAGCCCACAACCCAGTTTGCACCAAGGCCTTTGGCTGAAAACCGGTCATCTCTCGATTTCGCTGCTTTTGATTGGCTATGATAGATATACGTGACCCAGACGCGGCGTGTGTCACAGGACCGGTGGAAAGGCCGTGTCGGCTGCACCGAGGCTTGGTCCGCCGCAGAGAGCGCAAACGTCGGTCCTGCAACCATAGCTGTAGCCGTAAGGGTGTCCGAGTGACGCTGTCTTGGTAGCGCAGGCAAGCTCAAGTGCTACGGTGCACTTGCAAGTGTATGTACATTCACCCCATGATTTGGAGCCAGATCTGCGAACGCCGCTGGCTCGCAGGGACGAGACTCTACGATCTGTCTCGTTCTCTGTGGAGCTTCCCTCATGAGGCTTCGGCACCTTCCGGTACGGTACTGTCCAGCTCTGCCTACCGGTACTCTCTCCAGCGTGCACGTCCTATCACAGCAATCAATGCACTTGGGATCGCGCCCAATAGCCGAGCTATCGAAAGTGTCTTTGCCGCGACCACGTCAGAAAGGATGTAGAGCCGGCGTCACCGGTACCCGATAACGTTGCGGTCCGTACCGCAGCCACCGCTGGCTGCAAAGCTTGGTCGCACGGGCAAGGTGGCAGGACTTGCCACCACGCGACGTGCGGACGTGAGCCAACGGCAAGGTACACATGGCAGCGTACTACGGCGAACAAGGTGGTCCATGGAGTCGGTGGTTGTACGCGCCGCGATAGCAACAGACAATGTTTCCACGAAATGTGAATATAAAAGAAGTTATCTATCCGGCTCTATAACGATGGTACAAGTTGTAGTACTAGTGTTGACAGTATGATATTAGGAGGGTTAGTTGCGCTGCACTTCGAGCGACTGGTCGCCCATGATGATGATTTCCGAGTCGGCCGGCGCAGGTGGCATTACGACAACAGTCGTTCGGCGCGCGGCTTCTTTGGCTTGGGCTTGGTGGTGCATCTGAATCTCGCGCGTCCGCTTCATGCGCAGCATGAGAGTGAGCATGGCACTGATGCTGCCAAAGCCCACGACGCCGATGGCCACAAACACGGGTGGCCCGAACGTGCGCTTGTCCATGTCGTACTTGGTGCATCGGGGCCCAGACCAGACGCCGCTGCACTTGCATCGGCGCTTGACGCAGATGCCAGTGATGGCGCTTGATGTCGTGCAGTCGTCGTCACTGTTGCACGTGGCACCACCCGCCACCGGGATGTCCGGGTTGCGCGGGTCCGTGTAGTTGGTGATGTGCGCCTTGATAAACTCTTTGGTCGGATGTGTCGATGGATCGCAGCCGACCGTCATGTTAGACGTTGGCGACTGGTCTTGCCTAGCAACCAGATGTGCGTCGGAGAGAGGACGAGACACGAAATGTACCAGACGCGGATGTAGTCGACGTGCATGTACATCGGGAACGAGTCGCAGACGTTCTGAGTCGCATCGTATTCCCAGGTGCCGGGCTTCGGAATCGTAGCGTTGCCTCGGCACGGACCGACGACGAAGTTGGGCGGCGTCGCGCCTATCTCAACATCAGCAAAGCTAAAGAGGAAGCAACCGGCGTACCCCAGGCCGACGACATGGCCACGTTGAAGATAAAGTAGCTCGGCTCTTCGATCATGATCTTCTTCGGGTTGGGCTCCTTTCCGCCTTGGGGCGGGTTGGTCATCGACTCGGCCGGGATCTCGAAAATCGGCACCTTGTCCAGCATCCAACGAACATAGCCGCTATCGCCCGTGACCCTAGTCGACGAGACCGATGAGCACGATGAGAATGCCGCGACGCTTCGTACCACTCGAGCTGGTACTTGTAGTACGTCGAGTACGCTTCGTAGTTAATGTCCCAGTTGGACGAGATCGCATCCATTTGGTACTCGAACGGCTCCATCATGTTGGTCGGCGCTTGCGCATCCGTGCGCGGGTTGTCACACTTGGGGTTTTGACTGTCGCGGTCGCAGAGGAAGCCGCCTTTGTACCCGTTCGCGATCGGGAAGCACGTGCCCTTGTAGTTGATGCCCCAATGCAGCGGGCCTTTCCCGTCGATGAGGCCAAGATCCGCGTGGAGGTCCTTGCCCGAGCTGATCTTTTTGATATCCCACTGGTTGTCAATGATTTCGCTGTTTTGGGCCGCTGCCACCGACTCGTACTGCTGCACGAGCTTGGGGTCGGGCGTGCACCGATCGTTGGCCGCATACCGGAGGCCTTGGTACCACGACTTGTGGCCGCGTGACGCAAAGGCGGCCGTTGATACGTCGGCCATGTTAGCACCCGGCGTCAAGCACGTCTTGTCGTAGAAGCAAAAGAGATGACCAGGACCATGACGACCTACGCAGACGCGTGAGCTCGTTCTTCCAAGCATCCCGTACCGAAGGCGTCGACGTTGGACGAGTTTTCGTACTTGATATCCGGGTGCGTGAGCCGGTATTCGTCGGGCATGCCCGGCGCAATCTGCAGCGACGACGAGATCGCCGTGCCACCGCCTTCGAGAATGTCAATCTCGGGGGACCCACGGCCTTGGTACGGGTTCAGGCCGTAGCCAGGGTTGGGGTTGCACGCCGAGATGCGCTGGTTCTTGCGCGCGAGCTCGGTGCACTCGTTGTACGTCCAGGGCCACATCTTGTTGGTCGAGGCCGCAAAGAGCGCGCGGCCGAGATTGCCCATCATCCACAGACCCGGCCACGTCGGGTAGTAGCGAATGTCGGGGATCTTGTCCGAGGGCTTGACTGGCACGTCCTTCGTGCCGTCCCAGCGCTTGCCCGTGATGTGCGGGTTCATCGACTTTTTGTTGACCGCACCCGGGAGCCGCGCGGCGATCTCGATGAAGCCGCCTTGAATGCAAAACTTGTTCCACGTCTGCATCATGGACGCCGAGTACCACTAGAAATCACCGTTCTTAGTCCAAGTGCAAAGTCGGACAGGCGGATAGTACTACCATCTTTTTGGTCGTCCAGCCCGGCACATCGGCCCAGACGTTGTAAAATTGGATGTCGACTTGGCCCGAGTCGATGCGAATCACAAACTTGCCGTCCTCCGTGTACGAGTTGTTGGGCGTGTACACCTGAATCGCGCGGTTGACGCCGTCGGGAATGTCGAGCGACATCCAGAGATGGTCTTCGCCGGCCGTGAAGTTGCGCCCCGCGATCTCAAACTCGTCGCTCATGACGAGGTTCCACGTGTCGCCGCGCGAGCTCTGCATCGTCAGCTTCTCGGCGGGTGTGTCGACGTCGATCCAGATGCCGACGCCCGACTTGGGCGGCTGCGTGTTGTCGCCAATGTCGACGGCGGCCACGCACACCAACGTCGCCGAGAGGAGGCGCCACATCGATTACAAGAAGGCGAAATGCCGAGTGCGCACGTATTTGTAGTAGAGGCCACGGCGAGCCGCGAGTGTAATCCCAGCCAAATACCGTAGACTGGCCACACCCATAAGTTCTGCGTGTCGCGCGGCGATCCTATGGCCGACGAAGCCTATCACGTGCTTGGAAGGCGACATTACATCCCCGACGCAGCCGACTCGGAACAGGCCAACGAGAACAGAGATGGTCGCTCGACCTTCCAAACGCGCTTCCTCTGAGTAGTGGGTCTCGAGCAAGACGGCGCCACATTCCCATGTACGAAAATTCGGTAGTACAAAACGTCCTTTGGTACGTGAAGTTGCGGCGGTCTCTCATTCTGAACCGCCGCGCACAAGGCGTCCTACTACATGCGGGCAAGGTGCAGGGCAAGACGGCGTAGGACACGGTGCTGTGTGCATGATACGACCGTTACGAGGCTTTGCAGTTCAAACGAGGCGACCAAGTGACGACGTTTCGGTGGACTTGAAAGGAGTCGAACGACCACAAGGCACGCTCAAACTCGTTTCATCTCTTGCTCCGCCTGTTACCACGACGTCGGATGTCACATTCATATTCGAGGTCGAGACCGCCGGCATTCCACCTCGCAGGCCCATATTCAACATGCTGACGGGATTTTGGCCGAGGGAATAAATTGATCGGTATGCTATTCGACGTCGACCTCGTCGTGCGGCTTGCGCTTGAGGTCCTTCTCCATCATGAGGTCGGCGCGCGCGCGTCGCCGGAGCCGCACAAGCAGCGCGACAAATGTACTGATGAGCGCGATGCACACAAGAGCGATCGCGAGCGTCGGTGTCGGCCCAAACGACATGCCGTCCAGGTCGTACTTGGTGCACCGGGGTCCGGTCCACGGCGTGACGCACTTGCAGCGCCGATCGACACAGGCACCGGTGAAGCTACTTGCGACGGTGCAGTCGTCGTCACTGTTGCACATGGCGCGGCCCGCAACTACAATATCGGGGTTTTGCGGGTCCGTGTAGTTGGTGATGTGCGCCTTGATAAACTCCTTGGTCGGGTGCGTCGGGGGATCGCAGCCGTAGCTCATGTTGGAGCCGGTGGACGTGTCTTGCCTACGCGGAGCAGAGTTGAAAGGAATATCGTCGGGATCGAAGCGTGTACCAGACGCGGATGTAGTCGATATACATGTACATCGGGAACGAGTCGCAAATATTGTTGGAGATTTTTGCGTCGTCCGAGCCCGGTGCCGGCATCGTCGCATTGCCTCGGCAAGGACCCACCGCGTAGTTGGGCGGAGTCGCCCCTATCATAACATCAGCAAAGCTAAAGAGGAAGCAACCGACGTACCCCAGGCCGACGACATGGCCACGTTGAAGATAAAGTAGCTCGGCTCTTCGATCATGATCTTCTTGGGGTTGTACGACGACCCACTGCCCGTACCCTGCGGCGGGTCGGTCATTGTCGACGCTGGGATCTCGAAGATCGGTGCGCCGTCAAGCGTCCAGCGCACGTAGCCATCGTTGCCCGTAACCCTAATCACCAAGATGAGTCACATTGCACTTTCCAGTTGCAATCTCGTTATACCACTCGAGCTGGTACTTGTAGAACGACGTGTACGCTTCGTAACTCACGTCCCAGTTGGCCGAGATCGCGTCCATTTGATACTCGAACGGCTCCATCATGGCGGTCGGCGCCTGCCAATCTTGACGTGGCTCGTCACATTTCGGGTTTTGGCTGTCGCGGTCGCAAAGGAAGCCACCCTTGTACCCGTTCGCGATCGGGAAGCACGTGCCCTTGTAGTTGATACCCCAATGCAGCGGGCCCTTGCCATCAATCAAGCTCAAGTCGGCGTGGAGGTCCTTGCCCGAGCTGATCGTCTTGATGTCCCACTGATTGTCTGTGATTGGGCCGTTCTGTGCCTTGGCGACCGACTCGTACTGCTGCACGAGCTTCGGGTCGGGCGAACACCGATCGTTGGCAGCGTATCGGAGGCCTTGGTACCACGACTTGTGGCCCCGGGACGCAAACGCCGCCGTCGGGACATCCGCCAGGTTGGCACCCGGCGTCAAGCACGTCTTGTCGTAAAAGCAAAAGACGTGACCAGGACCGTGACGACCTACGCAGATGTGAGACGACCAAGCATCCAGATTTCCAGGCGAACCTTTTTCGTCGACGTTGGACGAATTTTCAAACTTGAGGAGGGCCTTGGTCAAGCGATAATCATCGGGAAAGGCTGGCGCAATCTGCAGCGACGACGAGATCGCCGTGCCACCGCCTTCGAGAATGTCAATCTCGGGGGACCCGCGACCTTGGTACGGGTTCAGGCCGTAGCCAGGGTTGGGGTTGCACGCCGAGATGCGCTGGTTCTTGCGCGCGAGCTCGGTGCACTCGTTGTACGTCCAGGGCCACATCTTGTTGGTCGAGGCTGCAAAGAGCGCGCGGCCGAGGTTGCCCATCATCCACATGCCTGGCCACGTCGGGTAGAAGCGGATATCAGGGATCTTATCAAGTGGCTTGATGGGCTTCATGCCCTGAGGCGTCCATTGCTGACCCGTCACATGCGGGTTCATTGAGCCCTTGTTGGTTGCGCCCGGAAGCTTCATGGAGATTTCGACAAAGCCGCCCTGGATGCAAAACTTGTTCCAGGTCTGCACCATCGCGGCTGTATAGTACTACCAACTCCACATGAGATAGTATTCCAAAGTGTGACATACCATCTTCTTTTTGGTCCATGCCGGAACGTTGGCCCACACGTTGTAGAACGAAATGTCGACGTCGCCCGAGTCGATGCGAATGACAAAGTTACCGTCCTCCGTGTACGCGTGCGACGGCTTGTAGATCCCGATCGCGCGGTTGACGCCATCGGGAATGTCGAGCGCGGTCCAGAGATGGTCTTCGCCCGCCGTGAAGTTGCGCGTCGCCGCGTTGAACTCGTCGCTCATGACGAGGTCCCACGTTCCGCCGCGCGAGCTCACCTTGGAGTAGACGTTCTTGGGGGTGTCGACGTCGACCCACGTCGGAACGCCCGACTTGGTCGGCTGCGTGTTGTCGCCAATGTCGAGGCCGTGAGCCGCGGCCACGAGCGCCAGCACTGGTAGCCCCGCAGCAAGCATTTATATTGCACGTCCAGCGTGTGGCGGTGCAAAATGCAATGTCGGGAAAAGCGCGCCAGACGTTTTTCGGATCGTGCGCTTTTCCGTGCAAAGGTTCGAAACAGGTGCGTTTCTACTGCATAAAGGTGCTCTTTTCTAAGAAAGGCCACGCGACTTATTGAAGATGGTGCGCTTTGGACCAAGACGAGGACCAATGTAACGTGTGTTACTACTGCCTGCCTCTACCGTACAGAGTGCCGTTGTCGACAGCTGAGAAACAAAATGCTCCTCAATCGACGACTCGAAGAAGGCGCCGAGCATTCTTAGGGTCGCGTCTCGCGTCCGACCGACAGACTGTCGGCGATGGTTCGTGATGATTGTCGAAAGCACTAAACTTTGCCTCCAAGGGTACATTTTTGACGTACCCTTGTTGCCTCTCACGGCTAGTACTGTCGCTAATACTGTACTACCGGTACTGCAGTACTGCCTCGTTTGTGTACAACCGGTGGACGTATTGCGTACTCTATGGAAGAGTTGACTGTTAATCGATCCGAATTCGAATGATAGACACGTCCGCTGTATCCTGCCGGGGCTCTGTTAATGTCAACAACAACCATGTCAAAGCTAAAACAAGAGCGTGCACCATGCCCCTTTGGGAGGGCGTAGCTCGTGTGTAGTCAGCATCGCAGTGCTTCGGTATATGTATCGGTCGGCAGCAGCGATTTGAAGAACCCTCCGCTGACGAGAAGACGTGCATGACTACATTCGGTTACTATATGAGTGTCTTTGTCATAAGACAAACAGACAATGGCCCACGACTATGAGCGCATTGCTGGAGCGCATTCATCTTATTACCTCCATGCAAAGCCGTTTGGCTCCTTGTGTCAATGGCGCTACGGTCTGTTAACGATGAGGCACCGTCCGAGACACGCTTAGCAGCCAACCCATTGCTCGACTAGGTGAGCGAATGTCATCGATTCGATCAACTTGTTTTAGAAATCGGTGTGGTAGCTCCGAGACTCTTCGCACGGAGTCTTGATGAAAATGGCCATCTGTTTGTTCAGTTTGGTGTCGCCGCGCCGCTTGCGGCGAAGGATGAGTGCGCCCACGGATGCCACGAAGGCGAACGCCACGAGGGCTGCCGCGAGCACCACGGATGGGCCATACGACGACGACCCGTCGATGGTGAACTTGGTACACCGGGGTCCGGTCCACGCCGTCACACACGAGCAGCGTCGGTTGACACAGCTGCCCGTGGAGCTCGGCACGACCGTGCAGTCGTCATCACTCTTGCACATGGCGCCACCGGCGACCGGAATGTCCGGGTTGAGTGGGTCCGTGTAGTTGGAGACGTGCGCCTTGATAAATTCTTTGGTGGGATGCGTCGCGGGATCGCAGCCGTAGCTCATCTTTGTCGTGTCTTGCCTGCGAGACAATCAGCATCTTCATCGATACTAGATGAAGGCGTGTACCAGACGCGAATGTAGTCGATATACATGTACATCGGGAACGAGTCGCAGACGTTGTTCGAGATCTTTGCGTCGTCCGAGCCCGGCGTTGGCATTGACGAGTTGCCGCGGCACGGACCCACCTGCCAGTTGGGCGGCGTCGCACCTAATCCAGCGACGATCTGGCTCGTCTTCGTTCCCAGCAGCAGAAATTCGATGTACCCCAGGCCGACGACATGGCCACGTTGAAGATAAAGTAGCTCGGCTCTTCGATCATGATCTTCTTGGGGTTGTACGACGACCCACTGCCCGTACCCTGCGGCGGGTCGGTAATCGTCGACGCTGGGATCTCGAAAATTGGCGCGCCGTCAAGCGTCCAGCGCACGTACCCGTCGTTGCCCGTAACCCTAATCACCAGGATGAGTCACATTGCACTATGCAAGTGCAATCTCGTCGTACCACTCGAGCTGGTACTTGTAGAACGTCGTGTACGCCTCGTAACTCACGTCCCAGTTGGCCGAAATCGCGTCCATTTGATACTCGAACGGCTCCATCATCTTGGTCGGTGCTTGGGCGTCCGTGCGTGGCTGCTCGCATTTCGGGTTCTGACTGTCGCGGTCGCAGAGGAAGCCGCCCATGTACCCATTCGCGATCGGGAAGCACGTGCCGTTGTAGTTGATGCCCCAGTGATGCTGACCTTTCCCGTCGATTAAGCTCAAGTCGGCATGACGGTCGCGGCCCGAGCTAATCCGTTGGATGTCGAACTGGTTGTCGACAATGACTGCATTTTGCGCCGCCACCACCGACGCATACTGCTGTACTTTGGTCGAATCGGGCGAGCACCGGTGGTTGGCAGCGTACCGAAGGCCTTGGTACCACGACTTGTGGCCACGGGACGCGAACGCCGCCGTCGGGACGTCAGCCATGTTGGCGCCAAGCGTCAAGCACTGCTTTTCGTAAAAGCAATACAAGTGACCGACGCCATGGCGCCCTACGCAGGAATTGAATGTCAGCCCATGCGCTTCACGAGACAGACGCACCTTGTGCATCCACGTTGGATGAGTTCTCGTACTTTAGGAGTGGTGGCACTGGGCGGTAGTCGTCCGGCATGCCGGGGGCAATCTGCACCGACGACGAGATCGCCGTGCCACCGCCTTCGAGGATGTCGATCTCCGGCGCGCCGCGGCCTTGATTTGGGTTGAGGCCAAAGCCGGGATTCTTGTTGCATGCCGAGATGCGCTGGTTCTTTCGCGAGAGCTCCGTGCACTCGTTGTACGTCCAGGGCCACATCTTGTTGGTCGACGCAGAAAAGAGCGCACGGCCGAGGTTGCCCATCATCCACAGACCTGGCCACGTCGGGTAGAAGCGGACGTCTGGGATCGGGTCGAGCGCTTTGACTTGCTTCATGCCTTGCGCTGTCCTCCGTTGGCCTGTTACATGTGGGTTCTGGGAGCCCGTGTTCGTCGCGCCAGGAAGCTTGGCGGCGACTTCGACAAAGCCGCCTTGGATGCAAAACTTGTTCCACGTCTGCATCATCGCCGCCGCGTAGTACTAGGGGTAGTGGGATGCATATCAAGGCTTCTGTTGGCAAGACCACGCACCATCTTCTTGCCGGTCCAGCCCGGTTCGTTGGCCCACACGTTGAAGTACGAGATGTCGATCTCCTTCGAGTCGACGCGGATCGTGCAGAGACCGTCCTTGGTGTTGGCGTTCTCGGGCTTGTAGACCTCGATCGCGCGGTTGACGCCGTCGGGAATGTCGAGCGCGGTCCAGAGGTGGTCGTGGCCGGCTGTAAAGTTGCGCCCGTCAAGCTCGAACTCGTCACTCATGACGAGGTTCCACGTGTCGCCGCGGGAGCTCACCTTGGTATAGACCTCTCTCGGCGTGTCGACGTCGACCCACGTGGGAACGCCCGACTTGGTCGGCTGTGTGTTGTCGCCTATGTCAAGGCCTTGAACCAAGCAGGCCATCGCGAGGAGCATCCACTGGCCCATGCTGCCCATCGAGTGCATTCGGAAATGGCAATGATGTGAACTCGCGAGGCACGTGCCATTTTGCTGACGCTAAGAAAAAAATGGATGTCGAAATGGATGCTGTAGTGCCAGGCGGAGGTGGGCGTCTCAAAAGACTGTAGCTCACAAGGTTATTTAATTTGGAGAATTGTATGGGCATGCGATTCTACTGGCCGCATAGCATATATCACCGCATCGCCAACTGGACGTTGCACGATCGAGCCTCGACGCGTCTCGTTCAGGCGACCTTGTCGACCATCTGTACGTACAGCGTCTTGTTCGCTGCGAGAAGAAATACCTTTTGTCCAACCAACCCCGTGCGCTTGTCGATGGACGATGCGGTCTCGGACGAGTGGTGGATCGCCAGCTGTACAGTGTACTTTGATGGCAGCACTGCTGCACTCAAAATGAAACCTTGTGCCGCAGCGCAACTCGGACGGGAAATGACACGAGCGGGTTGCGGGAAAAATGCATGTGGGTATTTCGAAGTCGTCGCTGGAAAACATTGTGGTCACTTAATGTCAAAATTGTATGCTCAAGTTCTCGGTTTTCCCTGTAGAAATGTAGGAAAACTACATCGTACCGGCTAGTGTTCCAGCCAACATGTACGTACGTACATCCACTACGACACGTAGAAATATATGCCCTCTACGCCACGCGAAGTCATGGAGTCGACGCTCTTGAAGCCAAATCTGTCGAGAGACCGAGATATAAGAAGAAACCCAACTGAGAAACCGACTGCTTCGAAGATCGGGAACGGTTTAGCTTTGGCCAGCATTGAAATATCGCATTGTTTCACAGTTCACCCGTATGACATCAGACATCTGCGTCAAATGTCTCTATATGAACTCATCTCAACACCAAATCACGGGCGACTCTTGTAAAAGCCTCATCCGCGGCGCACACACCGCACTGGTGACAACGACGTCTCTACGAGCGACAGTGCAATCCGTGCTAATAGTACCACTCGGCGAGGCCACCACGCGAACGACGACGGGATGCCAACATGTAACTCGAATTGTGTCATTTACGGGAAGAACTCGCGCCGGAGCTTGTACATGGTCATGCTAAAGCAGAGAACACCGACGCAGATGCCGGTGCCGAGCATGAGCAGCGGCCCGAGGTTGCGCCACGAGAGCAGCGGACGGTCGTCCTGCTGCAGCATGTAGAAGAGCGACGGCATGATAAAGATGATGAGCGAGCCCGCGACCGAGCCCACGATGCTCAGCGGAATTTTGACGCTCGGGACAAACAAGGCAGCGCTGAGGATGAGCACCACCAGTACAAGCGTTGTCGTGCGGTACACCGTTGTGGACGCGACCGAGCTCGGGAGCTGCTTGCCGTGGGTCACTCGGAGCACGACCGAGAGCACGCAGGACCGGAACGGCCACATGGCGATGGGCGCG